GAGAGAGAGAGAGAGAGAGAGAGAGAGAGAGAGAGAGAGAGAGAGAGAAAGAAACAGAGAAAGCAGAGATAGAAGCAGAGGTAGATATATAGGACATGAAGGGGACATGAGGAGAGCATATATAAACATTCAGAAAACTGAGAGCAGGAGAGGAGAGAATCTAGCAGGAGCAGTGTCAGTCAGGAACAAAAATAGAGAAATGCTTCCAGAAATTGTGGGGGTAGGGGAGAACAACAAAAAAGAGTTAGGTGCAGAGGAGCTTGGCCCTGCTGAGGGAGATTAAAGAAAGACTGAGCGACACAGAGAAAGTAGAGACAACATCAAAAGATAAAGAGGTGGCTAAGATGGGTTGGGGTTGGGATGAGGGAGGGCTGAGAGATACACAAAGACAGCTAGAAAGAGCAAGAGGGAGAAACAGATTAAAAGAAAAAGAGAAAAGTGGATATCCAGTGTCAGAGGATAAAGAGAGGAGATATGGGATAGGACAATGGGAAAGATATGGAGGAATGTGGAAAGACTAAGGCCCTGGCACCACCAGGAGAGCTACCAAGTAGAATCTAATAGCACCTCTAGTCCTGTTAGATATAGGGTCTTAGGTTGTGGGAGGCAAGTGAACAGGAGGAACTCATGGCCCTTTCTTCATACAGCAACCTCCTTCACTTCCTACAGAGCAACACCCCTCCCTTCCAGATCTCATAAAGCAAGAACCCTCCCTCTAATTCACAAAGCAACCTCTTCCCCTTGTTCCATCCCAGAGCATCCTCCCTCTAACTCTCATAGGCTGTCATAGGAACATAGGTTAGTATGTGGGGCAGGGTGTGTGAGCCCTGAAATTGAGAAAGGCCAAGGGATATTTAAAAGACTAAATGAAACTCATCATGTTATGCCTTCTGTTCAGTGCCTGGCATAAAGTAAGTTTTCAATAAATGCTAACTTTTTTAAAAAAAAATTCAATTCCAGATTCCCAACTTCCTGTTGGACATTCTTGAAAAGTCACTTCCCCTCTCTGGATCTCAGCTCTCATCAGCTGTCAAATGTAAGGTATTTATGCCTATCTCGTATGGTAGGTAATGAATTGGAGCCAATGCCTACCTTGTATCTGGAGATGAGTTTCCCTTCTTCTGCCTGCTTGCTAAAGCTAAAGCACTTGGGGGCTGAGCCTGCAAACCACAGATAAAGTCCCCAGAGTTTATCTCCATTGGGGTTTGACCACTCCCAAGATGATACCAGGGTGTGGAAGAGAAGAGGAGCTCCTTTCTAAAATCATGTCTGAGCATCTGGCTCTGGCCGACCCTGGCTATTGGTGGTGGGGAGGAGTGGATAGCCCAGGGAGAGCCAGGCAAGGCAGATGGCCAGATTCCAGGCTCCTGTAAACTCCTTTCTACAACAATCATGTTGTCAGTAATGACAATATTGAAGTATGTAATGGTAAGGAAAGCCTTCAAGATTGGAAGCAAAGTCCAGTCTTGCTTTAGGATGATGGTGGATTAAGGCCTGTTCCTACTCCCTCATAAATATGGAATAAGTACAATACACTCATCATTGCTAAGGAGTTTTTGGCCATGATATTCTCAGGGATCTCAAAAAATATAGACTACTTCTTGGAATTTGTGGAACTATTAAGTTCTTTCAAGCTTCAGTTTCAGTTTCTCTGCTCTGATCATCCTTTCTGGGAATTTCCCTTGCCTCAGTCTGCCTGTCCATCTTTATGACCCATGACCTTATAGTCTAGTTACCTTGGGCTCTGTTTACATTTCATCCCACTACCAATCATGAAATTGGAGTGCGTAGAATTGAATAAAAGAAGTATTTTAAGCAATTTAAGGTATTAAGAGCACAGCCTCTGGAGCCAAACTACTTGGGGTTGAATCCTGGCTCTACTACTCACTAGCTCTGGGAACTTAGAAAAATCATGTCTCTGTTCTATGGCTTATATCTATAAAGTGTGGATAATAACTTTGCAGGGATGTTGTAAAGATTCAGTAAGATAATCTATATAAAGTATATAGAAGAATGCCTATCCCATAGAGAATACTGAAAAAGT